GCAATTTGATCTCTAGTTCCTCTGCCTCTTCGAAACCCTGCCTGTACTTCTGGTAGTTCTCGGTCCACATACTGCTGGAGCCTAGCTTGTAGAATTTTGAGCATAACTTTGTTAGCATGTGAAATGAGTGCAATGGTGCGGTAGTTTGAACAATCTTTGGCATTGCCCTTCTTTGGGATCAGAATGTAAACTCACATTTTCCAATCCTGTGGTCACTGTTGAGTTTTTCCAAGTTTGCTGGCATATTGAGTGTAGTACTTCTACCGCATCATCTTTAAGATTTTGAATAGCTCAGCTGGAATATTGTCACCTCCACTAGCTCAGACTTCCTAAGGACCATTTGACTTCACATTCCAGGATGTCTGGCTTGAGGTCAGCAACCAACCCATCGTGGTTATCAGGGATGTTTTGCTCTTTCTTGTATAGTTCCTATGTGTAATCTTGCCACCTCTTTTTAATCTCTTCTGCCTCTGTTAGGTCCCTGCCATTTTGGTCTTTTATCATGCCCATCTTTGCATGAAACGGTCCCTTCATATCTCCAATTTTCTTGAAGAGATCTCTGGTCCTCCCTATTCTATTTCTTTGCACTGTTCATTTAAGAAGGCATTCTTATCTCTTCTAGCTGTTCTCTGGAATTCTGCATTCAATTGGGTGTATCTTTCTCTTTCTCCCTTGTTTCCTCAGCTATTTGTAAAGCTTCATCAGACAGTCATTTTGCTTTCTTGCATTTCTTTCTTTGGGATGATTTTAGTTGCTACCTCTTGTACAATGTTGCAAACCTCTGTCCATAGTTCTTCAGGCACGCTGTCTATCAGATCTCATTCCTTAAATCTATTTGTCACCTCTACTGCATATTCATCAGGGATATGATTTTGGTCATACCTGAGTGGCCTAGTGCTTTTCCCTTTCTTCAACTTAAGCCTAAATTTTGCAACCAGAAGCTCATGATCTGAGCCACAGTCAGCTCCTGGTCTAGTTTTTACTGACTGTATAGAGCTTCTCCATCTTTGGCTGCAGAGCACATAATCAATCTGATTTCTGTGTTGACCATCTGGTGATGTCCATGTGTAGAGTCGTCTCTTGGGTTGTTGGAAAGGAGTGTTTGCTATGACCATCGTATTCTCTTGACAAAATTCTACCAGCCTGTGTCCTGCTTCATTTTGTACTCCAAGGCCAAACTTGCCTGTTATTCCGGTTATCTTTTGTCTTCCTACTTTAGCATTCCAATCCCCCATGATAAGGACATCATTTTGGGGTGTTAATTCTAGGTGTTGTAGGCCTTCATAGAACCGGTCAACTTCAGCCTCTTCAGCACCAGTGGTTGGGGCATAGACTTGGACTACCGTGATGTTGAATGGTTTGCCTTGGATTCAAACTGAGATCATTCTGTCATTTTGGAGATTGTATCCCAGTACTGCTTTTCCTACTCTTTTATTGACTATGAAGGCTACTCCATTTCTTCTGAGGGATTCTTGCCCACAGTAGTATACCTGATGGTCATCTGAATTAAATTCACCCATTCCTGTCCATTTTAGTTCACTGATTCCAAAGATGTTGATGTTCAGTTTTGTCATCTCTTGTTTGACCACATCCAGCTTGCCTTGATTCATGGATCTTACACTCCAGGTTCCTATGGAGTATAGCTCTTTACAGCATCGGACTCTCCTTTCACCACCAGATACATCTGCAACTGAGTGTCCTTTTGGCTTTGACCCAGTTGCTTCATTCTTTCTGGCGCTACTAGTACTAGCCCTCTGCTCTTCCCCAGTAGCATTTTGGACACCTTCCGACCTGAGGGGCTCATCTTCTGGCGTCATATCTTTTTGCCTTTTGGTACTGTCCATGGGGTTTTCATGGCAAAGATACTGGAGTGGGTTGCCATTTCCTTCTCCAGTGGATCACGTTTTGTCAGAGCTCTCTGCTATGACCTGTCCGTCCTGGGTGGCCCTGCACGGCATAGCTCATAGCTTCATTGAGCTGCACAAGCCCCTTTGCCATGACAAGGCAGTGATCCATGAAGGAGCAAAGCAACATGGGAGTGGTTTAAAAAGAAGTCCGTGAATGTCTAAGAATGGCTTAGTCAAATCCCAGACTTTGATCCAGTTGAAAATCTGTGGAAAGACTTCAGAGTCACTGTTTACCTGCAGTCCCCTGCAACCTGACATTCCATTGTAGTTCAGATTGATAGAGACTTACCTGAGACTCGCATCTGTAATTGCTGCCAGAGGTGCTTCTACCAAATGTTGACTCACAGGGCAAATACTTACATAACCAAAAATAGTCACTTTGTTTTTACTTTTGTGCCACAATAAAAATATTTTCCACATTCACAGTGCTGCGTATCTTGTGCACACTAAGTAGTAATAATGACACTTAAATACATTTCAATTCTAGATTGTAATGCATTAAAAGGTAGTGAATACTTCTGCAAGACACTATGTTAGTTATGCAGATAGGTTATTCACATTTAAGGAAAGAAATACTACACTATTCAAACTGTTGTGGCATTAAAATACATTAAACGGGGGCATATTATTACAAAACAAAGTATTCATCACTTAAGGAAAAAGCCCAGTACCTCAAAACATTTGACATCCTTTGCAAATCCAGAAACACTCCTTTCCTCAGATCCCCAGGTGTCCCTAGTGCATAACCTAGTCTTCTTATGTTTCCTAGCATGCACAACAAAGATCAGAGGTAGGCCAGTTAATTCACACATAGCACAATGGAGGAAACAAGTAACAGAAGAGTTCCCTTTTGTTTTTCCAATTTACTAGTATTCTTTTAACAATTTCACCAAAAATGACCCCAGCCCTTACTATTTAAAAATCAAAGGAAAGTACTCCACACTACCTTGAATGTTCTACCATGTTCCTCTTGGAAGAGCAGATACGTTTTTCTGAAGACATCAATACCTCCCCTGTGTCTTCTTTCTCTGGCTCCTCATACCTTTTATCCAGATATTTAGTCCAACGGCTGACCAAATCTACATTTTTCTCCTAGAAAAATCCAGAATGTTTCCAAGAGCTATGACTCCCTCTAAATAGTGGAATAAGTGTTCTGTTCCTTTAGTTATCTATTTTCATGATAGTTAGAAAGCTGAATGTGAAGTGCTGGGTGTGTATTTTTGTTATTACTGTTGTAAGTCCATGTCTACATAACCCAAAATTCTGTGCTAAGAAAAGCTTAATTCTGTGACCATTACAGATTATATACACAGAACTTATTTTGGCTTTGCTCATCATAAGCAGGGAAAGGAGCTACACAGGCCACTAGATGTCCTATTTAGCATCTCACTCAACCAAAGAGTTCAAGTCATTTCCTGTATCCTTTCAAATGGGTCTTCACAACCTAAGGGCTAGACACTTTTAAGTGACAGCAGAAATTTTCCTGGCATTAATTTTGTCTCATACTATGCTCCAGTGCTCTTGTACAACCACGAGCTATACAGCACGCTGTTTATATATAATTTGCTTCTGCAGAAGCAAAGATAGTCCAATGTCAAAGGCGGAAATATGGTTCTTAGGGCACAATCCTAGGACCACGGAAAGCTGTCTAGATGGCTGCAAGGGAATTTGTAGTCCCAGCTCTGACCTTGGAAAAGTTCTCAAAGTCTGGAGCTGGGACTCCAAATTCGGAGCACCCATCTTCCACCCTTGCAGCCAGCATGGAAAGAACCATGCCAGCTGCAGCTCTGAGGTTACAAGCACCACTTTGGAACTGGCATTGAGGGAATGCTCTGGAAGGGGCAGGGAGGGAAGGAGTGATGTATCTTGGTGATGCCTCAGCATGTCCTCCAGGTGCAAATGGCTTAGATGGTGAAAGTTGGCTGTCTTTTCCATGGTTGGAGAAAGTGTGGAAGAAACCTTCTTCTCCACATTGTTTTCTATAGGATGCCTGTATTTCTTCAAGTTCAGAGGGATGCAATCAGCCGTACTGGATAATACTGCTCCTTAACTAAACAAAGGGATAGTTTACTTGCTAAGTAATTTCATATTGATGCTATGTATACAGCATCCCAGAGATCTGCCTCCCATCTGAACACAAGCTCACTGCCCACACATGAACTCAGTTCCCACACAGCCCCTGAAGCAGATTTTCAGAGGAAGGAAGAATGCTGTCAGCTAAGCTCCCTTTTACCTGATTTAGAGTATGGCTGGCTGGGGAATCCTATGAGTTATAAGATTTTTTTCTGCCTAAAAATTCACATGAATAAAACCCTAATAGCGTATGACACATTGTTCTTCAATTTTGGCTATGAAATGTTATTTACATAATCCAAAGGGGCTTACCTGCCAGTTCAATTTATCTTCCAAGTTAAGAGCTATGTTTTCATCACCTCCCTCTACCGGCTCTTCTATACATCTAAACATACATCAAGTTAAATCAAGTTTAACAGTTACACTGTCACGTGTTTTTGTTCCCACATGCACTGCAAGTGAGTATGAGCTGCAAAGTATTAGTGAAAGACATGTAAGAGAAGACTAATACACACATCCCAAACTTCTGGAACATGCAACTGTTAAGCTTAGGTTTTTGATACAAGATCAAAGGATGTCTGTTTGACACATATAATGAGAAATATTCATGTTAAGGTGGTGTGCATAATATCAACAAAATTTCCTTGCTCAAATAAACAAGTTTAGAGTCTTGGCCTGAAGGAATGGTAGTTTCACTCTTCCAGCATAACAAAATTACTTGTCCCAGGAACAAAGTTTTATTAGCGGATGTTGAACCAACTTCCACAGAAATCAAGTAAAACTTTCTCAGTATCAGCTTTTATGCTCTTTCCTCCAGATGTTCCAGAAATAATTTTGTCAATCTACATTGGAACTATGTGGAAGCCACATCATTTTTATTGCACCATTTCATTAAATACTGAACTTAGGCTACAGGAGGTATGGAAATGAAATTAATAATAATTTATGAAAATGATGTAGAGTGGCTACATGTTTTGAATTAAAATACATTGTGTTTACGACACACAAAAGAGCAGTAAATAGTTAATGCCATACCCAGGAAGGTTTGCAGGCACCTGTTCCACCTCGCCTTGCAACAAGTTTAGTTTCTGCACATGGTGCCTGCAATCAGATCCAGAACCCTGGCCAAAAATCTAAAGAAGTGAAACTTTCATTAAAATGGTTCCTCCAATATTTCTTTAATGCTATCTTAGCAAATCAACAGCATCATAAATATAAGTGACCCTTGTTCCATGGATCTCTCTTATGATCATCTTCTATTTCTAGTCAAACTTAAGTGCAAACATTTTGCTTTTGTTTATTAACTGTGCACTTTAGAGTAGATTACAACTCCATACTATAGCGGTATAGAATCTCAGGCCTGGGTACCAACCTGGCCATGCTGGGGTCTTTGATGGAACCATGTCCTTTTCCCCTGCCCTGACAGCTAATCATTTCCTGATTTCACCTTTTGTGCAGGTTTTTTTCCCTAAAAGGTTGAAATTCTTCTGCTAAGGTTTAACTTACCAGCAGGAAGAGTTTTATCAAATATGTGCATTTTTTGGGCCCCATTCCATTTACCTTTGGAGCTCCAAAAGATTCTCAACTGTAATTTGGCTGTCAAGCTGAAAGTTGCTATACTTGGACAAGGAATGCCTTCTATTCACAATATTGTTCAAATTATCAGAAATACTGAATAGGATAACTCTCTATAGCAGTTCTCCAATACCATTATATCAACCTACAATTTGTAGTATAATTTGTATGATAGTTACCATATACTCAACTATCTGCTAGTTATATATGTATTGTGAAAAACAGAAACATTCTACTGTTTGACCCCCACTCCCCCTCTCTCTAATATGCCCCTCCTTAAATTGGTGGAGCAAATTCCTAATGCAAGCTAAAGAGAGAAGTTAATTCTCCACCATTATTTCCAGGTTTGAAAAGATAAGCAAGGTGACAAAGGTTTCTTTTTAAAAATGTGCATATATGTCTACTCAGAAGCAAGTCTGATACTAACTTCAGTTGCAATTTTGTAAATACTCTTTTCAGGCCATTTTCAAACTTATTCCCAGTAAGTATATAGACAAATGATGAGACACTTAGGAAAGTTAATCCTTCAAATAAAAAGGCATCCCACTGGAAGTAGTAACCTGAATAAAACACACAAAACTTTCGGTACTTACCTTTAGAATTGACTGCTTTTGATCACATACTTTGCAATTCCATGTTTTACTCTTTTTGACCTGACAAAAAATTATAGGTATAGCTATCAGTTATCTGAACAGGCCCTGCCCATACTTGTTCTAGCGTACATCAATTTTTAATGACAACCGAAAATGTATAGAAAGGCACCCAAGATCAGCCCTAGTATTACAAACAAGAGTTTTGTACTCCACACTTGTAAGAGAATTCTACACCAGAAAGACCTAAATTCTGCAAGCCATCTACTTATGCATGTACTTACAAATGTTTTGTACCAAAATATATGCTACATGAAACTCAAACAAAAACCATGGCTTCTACACAATTCATGGTACACAAGTATTTACAGTATTTCAACAACAGAAAGGTTGAATCTCTGAACTATATGTCCTACTTCAATAAAGATCTCTGGTAACAGTGCCTAGGGAGATGTCCTCGCTTTTTCAATAGTAAGGCCATCATGCAACACCCCAATTTATGTTTGCCGCCACTACTCAGTTCACCTTAGGTCCTGGCTGAATGCAATGCCAAGATTAATTACGAGGCAATTTTCCACCTGGGAGAAGGCACCAAGTCACTAACTCACTAATCGCAATTGAGCATGTTTCCTCTCTTGGTCAAAGCATGTACACGAAAGTGTGGCCTCATGGGCAAGCAAGACAACTTTGGACTATCAAATCTACACAGCCAAACTTGAGAAGCTTTACTGAGAGTAGGGATGGAGTTTTGAGTGAGAGACAGGTATCATTTATAAAGTTAACTTTATAAAGGAGCAAACTTATGCAGGTTTAGGCAGAAAAAGGACTACAGTCTCAGCATGATCCAGGCAGCACGGGCCATTTTTCTGTCTAAACATGCACAGAGCTGCCCTTTGTACGAACTGTGTTAACCAATCTTAAAGAAGAATCTCACTTGTAAAGAACAAGGATCACCCATAATGTTTAAATGGAACATGTTTTTCATATTTTCATATGCAATAATACCCTTTTTAAAGCCTGAAGAATCAGGAAGAGGTTGGGAGGAGGCGGTCCTCCAATCAGGTATCACCATATGTGCTTTCACACTTGTAAAATTTATTTTAAAAGAAGACAGCACTTTATTCTCAAGTCCTTTGCCACAGTGGCTAGATTAAACAATGTGGTAGCAAACACACTTGGTACCACCTAAATGCCAGCCTGCATAAACCAAGTAACAACAATGAGTAAAAATGCAATAAATAAAACCAAGGAAATCATATGTACATTGTATGCGTGATTCTTTGCTGAGTATGTATGGCTCTTCTCAAAAGTAGCATAAGATTTTTACAGATTGTGTTAATTGTGTAGATATTTGCATTTACAGCTACCTGACTCACAGAAGTGTCATTTCTAACACTTCTGAGGCTTAGCCTGGAATCCATCACTCAAGGACACTACTGTGAATCCAAATGTCTGAACTATGCCTTAGTTTCAGAGTCAACAAATTCAGTTTCAGAGTCAACAAATAAATTATGTAAGCTTCATCAGGGATCAGAAATGTCACATTAATGTTAAATTAATTAATTCAATATTTTCACACCATCCACAGCTGGTATTATTTGTTGTGCTTGACTTGGGCAAGGTTTAAATTATAAAGAAAGAATGATATCCCTTGTTTCCAACAACTTCCCCAGTGCATTACTTCTAGACTAACATGACAGGGCTTACGCTTGCCTGAAAATTTACCTACCACTCTCAGGCTAACCAGGGCCACCAGCTGCAATATTTCAGAAAAGAAAAACCACCACCACAGTACTCCCAAGGAAGCCCTATGTGCATTTACCTGGCCACCACTGGCAACAAGGAATTCTGTGCGAGGGAGTGAGCTATCAGAAGATAAAGAAAGCACATCCTCCTCCTCTCAGCCAGCCTAGACTGGCAAGAAACCCCTTCCTCCTTACCCAGCACAGAGCACTACTGAAGGAGGCCCAGGGCTCTGCATTTCTCCCAGCTAGCAACATTTTGGGGGGTGGGGGAGAGGCAGGCTCATACCTCTGTGGGCTTATTAACAAGACTGCCCAACAGCCTTTTTACTCCTCCCTCCCTCCTCTGCCATAACTGAGCCCCATTCCTGAAAAAGAGCAGGAGGGCTACGATCTAAATTCTAGCAAATCCCTGGTCAAGATTTGGTAGTGATGTTTTCTAAAGAGCGGATATTCCTTATGGTCCAGGAACAGCACCAGTGCCTATTTTCTTTTCTTTGCTGTCTGGAGGAGGCATTTCTGCTACGACCAGAGCCACTCACGGTGACGTTTCGAGGCCACGGACTAGTTCAGGCCGAGAGAGACGGCGGCGGCTGCTTCCAAAAGCCAGTCCCCCGAGAAGCCGCGGCTTTGCTCCAGGTCGCCTCACCTGCTGGACTTGGAAGACGAGACAGGAGCAGCACCGCAGCACCTGAAACTGCTGCTGAGCCATGAGGGATCCTGCAGGAGGTCTGCAGTCCCAACGGCTGCTCCCCCCCACTGAAGAGCCTCCCGCTCCTATGGATGCCTTCACAGCAAAGGATTTGGCGGGAAGACGCCCGAGCAGGCTCTTCCCCCGCGCTTTCGTCGGCCCATCTAATTGGCTGAGCCGCATACACGGCGCAGACTTGTGCTGCGAACTCACGCTGAAGTTCTAAAGAGTTGGCGAGCGCTCGGATGCTTTGCTGCAAGGGACAAGAAATATACCCGGAGGGACAACGGCATTGTCTGCAGACTGGATCTCCTGGTTGTTTCCGTAGTCTCCCTGTTGGGGTTGTAGCCCATGTGAGCGTAGATCGACTGAAATGAACGGAACCTAAAACTAACGTTGGGCATATGTTGTTGGCGTAGCGAGAATGGCAGCTGTTTACCGAAATCCAGGATTGATTTTCCTGTATTAGCGGGGGAGAACTAAACTATTGAACATGATTAATTCCATTTTACAGACGGGAAAGGTGAAGCTGGGCGATACGCTTATATCCAAGGGAGGAGTAAAAAGAAGGGGGAAGCTAGGGTGTTTTGTGGAAACTGCAATGGACTCCATTGCTATTTAACCTGCACTGCAGGTGTGTGCAGGCTGAAGCTAAAATTGGCTTATGAAAACAATCATAGAAAGTAGTTCAGGATTATCCCTGCTTTAAAGTGTGAGAAAGTGTGAAGTAAGCGCTGAGGCTATATTATGCTTATCCTGTGATGAGTACAGTGTCTTGGGGTGAGAACTTGGGATGAGGCAGTGACACAACAACACTGCTCTAAACATGTGCTCTGAATGACCATGGAAATTCTTTATATTGGAAACCAGAGATCATATTCCAGAGAAGTACCATTGTGAGTCAATTCCAGCAAAAACAGGAAAGAAACTTGAAGCATCTTAAGGACTAGATGACTTGCACCCCGCATCATAAGAAGGTAGCAATCCCTGGAGCAGGCAGTCATGCTAGGGAAAGTCTGAGGCAGAAGAAGAACAGGAAGAGATGGCTTGACTCCATACAGGAAGCCACAGGCTGGAATTTTCAAGAGCTGAAATGGGCTGTCATGGATAGGACATTTTGGAGAGCTTTCAGCCACAGGGTCACCATAAGTTGGAGATGACTTGATGGAACATGACGACAACGAGAATATAAGAAGAGCCATGCTCCATCAGACCAGGAGTCCATCTGGCCCAGCATTTGTTTACACACTAACCAGTGAGCTGCCCATGAGAAACCTGAGAACAAGACACAAGTGCAACTGCAACCTCTCACCCATATTCCACTGGTATACATAGACAGATTGCTTCAGATACACAGTACCATAGAGCCACCAGGACTAATGGCTCCAGACAGCTTTTTCCTCCGTGCATTTGTTGAATCACCCATTAAACCATCCTAACTGGAACCATCCTACATGTTGTGCAAACAAATCCCATAGTTGACTTATTTGCTGTGTGAAAAATACTTTTTAGTTGTCCTGAATCTCCCACCAATCAGTTTTGTGGGATGACTTGGGCCCTATCTACTTTCTCTACACTGTGCATGATTTTGTACACCTCTAGAACTTCTCTCCCTCTTTTCCTTTCTTTTCCCGGCCAAACAATGAGAGATGTAAGCTTCCCTCATAGGGGAGTTGCTCTATCACTTTAGTAGTCCTTTCCTGCACATATCCAGTCTACAATATCCCTTTTTAGGTGTTGCGAAACTATACACAGTTTTCTAAATATACTGACACAATAGATTTATTTAAGTGGGATATGATATTGGCAGTTTGATTTTCATTTCACTTCCTAATTACATCTAATACAGAGCTTGCCCTTTGCACAGCAGCTGCACACTGTGCTAGAAACTGTTGTCAAGCTGATCACTATAACCCCAAGATTTATTTCTTGCCTATTCCCTACTAGCTCGCATCCCATTAGCTAGTCCTTTGAGCTAGTATTTTTTGACATGCACTAGTTCACCTTGCTTATTTTGAATCATGCCATTATGATGTCAGTTTTCCCAGTCTGGAGACAGCCTGTCACATTTGTTTTTTTGTTTAGGCATCCTAAATAATTCAGAGTGCCATTTTTTAAACTGTTTCTAGATTTGTTCTATAGTTAAATCCCTCCACCTTTTGGGTGCTTTGGGGTTTTTGCTCCTACAAGAGCTAGTTCTCTGTTGTCCCTGTTTTCTGTCAAGTAACCACTCATTCAGCTTAACTCAGGCTCCTTTAGCATTGTTTGTTTATTGCATTTCTATTTTGCCTCACACCCAAACTCTCTAGCATGCCTTTATTTATTGTCCTATGGTTTCTTGCTTCTGATATATTTAAATAATTATTTTTGGTCTTGAAGTTGTTAGTGATACATTCCTCAAAATGCCCTTTTCATTTCTTACTGTCTTTGTTGCATCTCTCTTGTGCAAGCCTGTGCTTCCTTGGACAAGACTTCTATTTTCTGAAGGAAGCCATCTTTTCGCTAAAAGCTTCTTGGTCTTGTTCATAAATAATGACACTGACCTCTGGAACATGGTGCTGCCTTTCCTAACCTATGCTGTATATTCTACAAATGTAGATTTGTTGGACTTTTGGCCACTACATTTAGGTTTACCATTAATATCCAAGACTGGGGAAGAGTAACTGGACAGGATTAGATAGGATCATTGATTACATATTGGTGGAAGGAAGCTGATGAAAATATGCACTTGACCGCTTTTTCTTGGGCCCAGCCTCTAGTAGACTGCTCCTGGGCACTGTTAGTTCTTGTTAATCTATTCCTTCACTCATTGGGCAGGTATGTTGTCCTAGGAATATCTGCTGCAAATGCTCTGGAGCAATCCATTCTATCCTGGAGGTGTATGAAATTTCCCTCAAATTTATCAGCCCATTTCATACTGGCTTGATTCCTGTCCGATATTCTGCTTTACTTCTATGCCATCTAGTGGAAAGCTGAAGATTTGCCACTTGTTTATCTCAAAGAGACTTTTATTGTTTGTGTAAAATCTCTGCTTTAAAGGAGGTTTTACAGAGATGTCACTGATTTATTTATTTATTTGAAGGCTATGTTTGATGACTGGGGGCTAAATGTATTAACTGATTCCATTGAAAAGTTTTGCAGCAGAAGTCAGCTGAATAATCCGTGGTGGGTCATTCCTACTGGAAACTCATGACTTGAATGTAAGAGATGCTTGTGAGTTAGATAGCTACAAGTCATTCCTAGAATTAGGTTGATTAAGGGTCCTTGATATCTAACTTACTTAAACATGGTAAGGTTCTTCAACAGCTTCCATGTTTCATTTCTAGATACACAAGAAAACTTCGAAAGCTCCTGGGCTGTGTATAAAACACAGGCTCTTAGCAAGGGATGAAAACTCAACCCAGATTGCTTCTATACCATGAACATTTTCCTTGCACACAGAGAAATGGCTGAAAAATGGGTGAACACAAGTTCCTTTGAGCATTTAAGCAAGGTGACAATTAAGATGCCTTTAAATCTGTAATGTGTCAGTTCTGGATGTTACTATGGCATGGAAGCTATTTTAAATGACTGAATATATTAGTCACAGTAGTTTGCTCATTAGAGTTATGAATGAGAAATGGCTGAACAAATGTAATCATTATTTGTGAAAGGACTGGCTTGTCAGCTTCTGGTTTCAGGCATTCTGGTATCTGGGAAGGGTCATGGGCCAGGATAAGACCAAGCAGAACACAAAAAAACAATTACACAATCTCTTGAGAACTCGGCCACTAAAAGACATGGGAAAAGCCACAATAAATGCCTAGTTGTTACTCATGTTTTGTGCGTCTGCAGTAAATGTATGATGTTTTCCCCTCCACTCAAACCATTGCATTCGTGAGGGAAAAGCAGTATGCTAGATGGAACAAATGACAACTGCACTTTTTTGCCAAATGTGATTGCCTGTGACATTTCTGACAATGGTAACACCTTCATCTTTAGGGGACAATATATCAATGTATAGTCTTTTCTTTATTAAATATATTTGCAAATATAAGTGTTAAATTAATAGTACTGCTTAAGTATGAGAAATAGTTGATATCTCCAATGAAGTGTATGACAGGAAATGGAATTAGCAACCACTTGGCGGTCTGCAATAGTAGATAAGCACAGCGTCCTGTTTGTAACATTTATCAGATTTTTCTAGTTACTGTCCTATCTACTTTTTCTCAACTCAATTTCCAGTAAAAATGCTAACTCTCAGTTCTACTTGGATGTCTGTCAAGAACATCCCCTTAATATCATCTATGTGAGAAAAGTGTGAGAAAGAGATGTGAAACTCTAAAGGAACTCCATTCTCAGAGCTAAGCCATTCAAAACAGTAAAGAGAAAGGCCTAGCCTTGGTCTAATCTTGACTGTATGTTTGCCCAATCAATGTACCCTCTCCCAGGGTTTCTTGCTATGTATGTGAAAACCAAGCAATTGTGGAAGGGAATTAAATACATTTTATTTGAAGATAAAATAAAGTATAAGAAATTCTATGACTATGTATGATTCTGTTCATTTATTGAAGACATACATGATTGATCAGACCAGAACAGTGAAAATCACATGTATTTGTTTTTTTTTAAAAAAATTACAATAAATTACTGAAGAATTAGTAAAAGCTAATTATCTGTTTTCCAGGTGCGGGACTAGAGTGGCAGAGACTTAAACATACAGAGTAAGCCACAACACTGGAGTAAGACTGGGTTTTCCACCAACGGGGAGATTCCTTGTACGCATCTACCCTAGGTCTGCAGGCTTTTCACTTTCTGACCTGCCAGTGTGACCCACATTCACCACTGGTCCAACGGCAGCCACACCCAATCATTCACACAATTTCCATGAAGCTCATGCGACTGAATAATGTACTTATGTAATGAGTAGGTATACAAATATAAACAAATATAGCAGTGTTTCTTGAGAGTGAAAGCATTCCCATAGGGAAACTTCCAGTCCCAAAATGGAGCTCCAGTTTTCCTCTGGTCCACAAGTGATTCACAGAAGGCAGGTTCCCTAGCTGTACACACTATTCCACAAGAGCACAAGCTGATTGAAACATCATACCATGCAGGCTGCAGAAATCGTTTGAACTGTAGTATGTATAATGGTGAGATTTCTACAGGGTACAATATCTGGACCACCATGAAGCCAGTAGGATAGTTCAGGCAAACTGGACTAAGGTCTAAGCCGAAGACAAACATAAGCCATTTCCATGGCTCCTTTACCTATAGAGGTCTGGCTAGGTCTAGTATATTAAAAAACAAAATAAAACTAAAGATCTAAACATAGCAAGAAACCATCCAGTGATGCAACACTTCTATGGTAACTGGCTTGCAAGGATATGGGCACAAGACTTGTCCATTAATATTAAGTTCAAGTTCCAAATTTATTGTACCATGGAAAATTATGAATCTTGTACACTATAAAATTAGAGCCTACGTAAAATTATGAAAGAAGCAATCTAAAGCTTAAGCAGCAAAACTTGTACTCTTATCAGTACAAGTCTGAGGACTCTGCTCTACTCTACCCCAGTCTCTGTGGCTGTCGCAATTCTCACTGCTGCTTTCTTTCAGGGAAATTAAAAACAAACATGGCACTGAAGAGTTAAAACTAGGCTAACATATTTTAGTATGCATTTCTCTTTGGAACTTTTGAAAACCACATGCTACTGTGATCACTCCTCACTCGAGATAGAAGCCAGCTGTCTCAAGGCATGATGAATTCTAGCTGCAGGATGCCAAGAGTAAAACAACTTTACATTGGACAAGTTGCTGCATAGCATCTAGGTTCTTTACAAAGGTCTTTCAGGCAGGCTGGGGATCTCTATAGCACCTCGCTACATTGCATTAGGTCAAAATGCGACAGCCAAACATACAAAGGAAGGTATTCAAGCTGGGCTGCTTTTCTGGTGAACAGTTACCAAGGAACCTAATGCAAATGAAGGTACAGCACAGTGTAACTGAAATCAAACTTCATTAAAGAAAGATAGGCAGAGGCACACATGCATAATTTACTGTAGTAATTCTAGGCCACAGAGGCTATTAGGTGCTAGGCTTTCATGCTTCTGAGAATGTAACGTAAACCCAGTGAGCAAGGTGTCCTCCTGAAAGGTATCTATATCAAAGAGTCACTGTGAAAAGCCCCTTTCTCAGCTGAAGCGAACTTTAATTGATGGTAGTTATAGGTGTCGGTAAAAAAGAAAAGAAAATGGACCAAAACGTGTTCACCAGGTTTCTAGATCTTCCACTGCTTATTAGCCAAACCCTGTTTTATCCCCTTGAGTTCAGCCTGACACTGAAGAAAGCTCATAATCACTGGATGAACTGAACTGCCTTTCCACTTTCTTTTGTTCCTTGATCTTCTGTGTAATGTCAACTTTCTTCTCGAAGTAGTTTACTAAGGCTGTCTCTGTAAGCATGGAGGCTAAAATCTGTTCAAACGAGATGGACCAGTCCGTGTCAATGGTGCTGCCATATCGTGCGGCTGAACTGCCAGCCTCACAACCAACCAGCACTGTATCATCTGCAATATCTTCGCACTGCAGGGAACCAGTGCTGACCATTGAGTATGAAGACATGGACATATCATCTTTCGTTTCATCATCTGAAAACAGCTGTATGGGAGAGCCTGGACCTTCACCACCACCATTTACAAGCATCTGGCTTTCCTGCTGGTGTTTTTCCACTTGAATATCCCCAGAAGCTTTGTCCTCTGTGGCCCCTTGGGCATACCGCTCTACAGTAGAGTTCTGGCTCTGATCAGAGGCTGGCGACTCTTCTTCGCTCACTGGGTCCTGAGTGCTGTTTGGTTTGGAGTTATCTGTCTTTTTGGCAGGCTGGTGGGAGAACTTTTTGCCCACCTCGCCAATGCGCAGGAGGAGGCTAGCAACGGTAGCAATGGCATGGTACAGCTCCTGCTCCACCGGGTCTTCGCTGAACATGTTGTAAAGGGTCTTGCACAGCTCTATAAACTGCTCCTTTAAAAGAGAGATGCACATTGTGACAACTGGTAAATGTTTGGGTGCAAAATTGATGATGATGAAACATGCCAAGTTAACCAATCCGAAGTTTAATAAACATTTTTTTATTTCCAGAAAACAGCTGTGCTGATAACATGGCAAGTCTCCATCTTGTAGGAATTTTAATTTGAGATGCACACTCACATTTCACATTGTATGACTATGTGTGGCATGAATGGAATTTAACTAGGATTTTAAAGTTTAATTAATTAATTTAGCCAAACTCTGCCTAATGGCTGGAAAATCCCATTTTCTCCTTTACCTGTCTGTATAAGTGTGCATTTGACAGTTGCAGACCAATTATCCAACCATCAGAGGAACCTTCCTTTCCGTTTGTTAACCCATTACTCAAGAAATGTTAATCTGGGAGGATTTCCATCATGTTTATGTGCCCAATGCAGATTTATAGCCATATCTACAAGTGCTATGTGCATCTGTATAAATGATGTTAATTTATTTGCTTTCCCTTCTATGAATGGGAGTTTCATGTTTGCCAGACTGACTGGCACAAACCTATTCTGTCCAATCAATGGTAAAAATATTTTTCTGTCCCAAGGAAATATTGAAGTAGGCAAGTTTCCCTTTGCATGCTAATAGAAAAAAAGAGTTACTTTGGCTTAGAAAACTGATGTATTGGGTGTGCACTGAAACCAACAAAACTTGATGGCATCTGTCTTCAAAACAGCTTTGCCTAAGAAAGGCACATGCACCTCCATTTTCAGAAAGAGGTAAACTTAGAGCCAAAAATGGTGTGCTTGCCTGGATGAGGGAACTATCACCAATTAGGTGTGCATACAAGGCTTGCCTTTTCAATGCTATATAAATTCTTTTTTTTTTTAAAAAGCTATTTTTGATTTGGCTTTGTTAAATTCTGTGCCTGCAAATTATTAATATTTTCCCTCCCATGCCTACGTAGTTGATGCTACTTCAAAGTTTGGGATCTGAAGTTATTTTATGAGACTTTTGGACACAACATAATTACTGAGACTCCTATGAGCAAATTTCCAAGTAGTTTTTATCGGAAACATAGTTTTCTTCAGATGTGACGCTAAACTATGGTTTAGTGTTACATGAGTAAGCCTGGCCTGGCATCCCCTCCAGCGCAGCCACAAGGAGATCAGATAACAAGGCACAGTCTATGTTAAATGTTTCATGTCAATTATGGTTTAAGGAAAGAAGTCTATCTCAAACTATGGAGTTAGTTTTCCCCCTAATCTACAGGTAACTATAATTTTAGATCAAAGAATAAGCAGTGGCTAACTGGAAATAAAAACAAAAGCTTCTGATCTCCTCACAGCCATGCAGGTGAGGAGGACAGAGCGCACAGGCCCAAGGCTCATGTATGTGACATGAAGCAGTGGTATAATGTTATGTCTGACCCAGAAATGGCAGCTACCCCTGGAAGCAGTGCAGCCTGTTAAGAGTCGTCCTCTACAGTTCTGGGGGTGGTCTGTAAACCCCACCCTGAGCATGTACCAACATAAACACACTGTTTTAACGCGTGAGTAGCAGTTAGCAGGTGTTCTGTGAATATTTGTTCTTGGCAAGACAGCCATGATGTGAGGGAATACCACATTCCAAATTTGAAGCAGAAATCTTATCTTGAGAGGATTCTATGAGAAAAGAAGCCTTAAGAATGGACAAAGGTTGCGAGTGGGGGTACTCCATTGGATCATGGCCTGCTGTCTGAAATTAGATCTTTGGTTTAATCTGCCTGTTTGGTTTCCTCCATTTCTTTATAAACATGATACCTCTCCGAGAGAGGAGTGGGCAACCTATAGCCCTATGCCTAATTATCCCTCTGCAGTTCAAATCCCTCTGGCTCCAAAGTGCGTAAGCGTAACTAAATAAAATAAAGAATAAACCTGCTTCCACTTGTCATCTGTGCTCGACAAGCCCCTCAAACATGCTACTCGGGCACTCCAAATGGAGTGTCAGTGCTGGCAAGCCAGGGATTGTGAAAGCCAGATATCAAGCTGCCTTTCACAATCTCTGAAAGAGAAAGGACAAACAGAGAAAGGCCTTATGGGCTAAACATGGCTCACCACTGCAGCAGGGCAGGCCACAAGCCCATGCCAGGCACCCCAAAGTGCCACTTGGGCATTTGAAGGATGCTGGGCCCTGGCGGGTGCTTGGGCACACCTGACGAGAAGCAAGGGGGTTTGCTGCCCTGGCCAAGAAGCTGCCTAGCTGACCTCTGGTATCCAGAAGGGGCTGATTGCTTGTGTTGAGATGATGCAACAATCCACTGTGGGTACCACAACCCCTAGAAGAAGCTATAGCTTCTCAGGGTGCCTTGTGTGTTGCAGCACATGTGGACTGTGATTTACATAATCACTACCTGGCTGCCACTGACCCTGCTTTCTGAACATGGGCAGCACTGCCTGTTGGAGGGTTAAACAATCCTCAAAAAATCCTACAACAGCCCATGCGGCATTTGAGGGTTGTAAAACCCTCCAAACAGCTATGCCACCTGGCTCAGATGACACACCCAACTGTGGCTGGTGAAATGTAAATTATGCTTGGCTCACAATAAGCCATGGAGGTTTGTTTTGATTATAAAAAAAAGGGGGGGGGGGGGAGAGAGAGAGAGAGAGAGAGAGAAGGAAGTGGCAAAGAAAGAGTGTTCACATAGGACACTAAGCCATCTTACAAATGAACAGTGCAGTATGGGTTGGTTGACCTTTTCTTCTCCTCCCTGTATCCCAGTATCCCTCATAGCAGAACCCATCTTGTCTCCTTCTCCCTGTGGCTATCACTATGCCTTTTCATTTTCCTGTTTTTTATTTTTATTTTTCAGAACCTCAAAAATGCATAAACGAGTGTTGTATTGGGAGGGGGTGGACCCTAAAATTTGTACAATGATGTTTATCATTCTTCTTTAATTAAAATTTAATGTCAGTCTTTCTCTGGTGCACACTTACAGCTGCCCAGTATGTGTAGCCTTATCTTGTCAAAGGCCTTTTAAGTTTCAGGTGTCAAAAGGAATAACTAAGCGTGTTAGGTAACTTACATGGAAATAAAGAAGATTAGATTAGTATATCTTCTTTAGTATTAAGATAAAACATACAGGCAAATTTACACAGTTACTGGCTGTCACTAGTTCAGCTGTCAAATGAAATGTAAAGGGGGAAAAGCAATGAAAGCAGGTATATCAAAAGGTGATGCACCACTTCCTTAGCAATATAATTCTCTGAATTTCCATGCTGAACCAACAATTTTCAGCACCTTCCACCTTTTCAAAGCTTCCCTGACCTGCTCCAGAAAGGGAAAATATTAATTATCCATGCCCTTTAAAAATCTCAATTACTTACTGCTGTGGTTACTGAAGTTCCTTGACAGTTCTGAAAAATATGATCGGGGGCTGCGGGGAAGGGCTTGGGAAATATAAACAATGCTAATGGTTGGAAAATAAATGGAAGTACACAGATCTCTATTATTCCAGGTGTACAAATTTCCTTTCCATTCATTGCCCTGCCACTAAATTGGTGCAAATTTCCCCTCTATTTACTTGCCAGCAATTAAATGTGCACGTATTTCCCATTGCAAAAATATACAAGTACTCCTGACAGTTTTTTAAAAATCTTACAGGATGGAGAAAATGTGGTACTTACACTTATACCAGTCCCACCATGGGCACCATTCACTTAGTCCCATCTAGCTTTCTCCTCAGGTTGCTTTTAGAATTGTCAGAGACTTGGAATAACCAAAGCAGTAAATGTTCTGAAAAGTAGGAGGGACAGGGGAGGGATAATACCCCCCACTCCTTTCTGGAGTAGCTGGAGACTCAAGAAATGCTGAAATGGTGGGCACTGAGAATGGTCAGTTCAACACTTTAAAGCCAGAGGTTTACACTGTGAAGAGCGCCACCCCCTTCGATGCACCTACCTTTGCTAACTTGGCAACTGACAGACAGCAACCGTGTGCAAATTTGCCCAATGTAGTCTTGCCCTGCTAGTCTGTTACTTAGTCCATTTCCCTAGGAATGCTGAAACTTACAAGGCCTGTGACAATGCAAGATCACACATACCTAACATCCATAAGTGCACACTTGAAAAGTTGGGAAATTGTGACAAAAATATAATAAAAATGAGTAACACAGCTGTGAAATTTTCGGAGGCCAAACTTTTACAAAGGGTGTGAGCCAGTGATGGCTCTGCCCAATTGCCATCTGGGCATCAGTGGAGAGGCTGTCACTGGCGGTGGCAGCATGTGCAAGACTGCCAAGAATGGCAGGGGGTTCTGTTGCTCTTGCCAAGCAGCTTCCCGGCTGATCCTTGCTACCCACGATGGAATCAGTCTTGCAGGTCCGGACAACTGACAGTCCATCATGGACTGAGCAACCACAGGCTATTGAGGTGACGTCCTGTCTCAAAAAAAGCTACTCTGCAGGAAGCAGCCTCAGTTTAGATGACACAGTTACATACTGGTTAGTCATCCCGTGTGCAATCTAGTTGGAGAAAGAGAGAAGGTGCTGCTCCACCCACTTTTAGATTTATCCCTGCCTATCTCTGGTATGCAGCTCCTGACAAATTACCCTTTGAGGGAATGAGGCCTCCATGGAGTTCCCTATCCTTGCTTTTAAAGATTTAGATATAGAACCGAAGCATTGCAATTAGGGCTGAAGGATCCAAATGCAAGTTGGTGGACAAGTTCAGGATCTGCTTCCACTTTTTAAGTTGGATGCTTACTTGATTCCAAGCCTCTTTTTAAAGGGGTATAAAACATGTAAAATGTCCTGTAATGCATGATCTTTCTTGAGCAAAGAGATCTTATGTAAACTTGAAATAGGTCTTTATCTGAAAAATGGAGTATAGGGCAGCATAGTATAATGCAAAGGATTCACAGAATTCAGACCAAGGATTTTATGTTACAACAATTAAAAAAAGAATCAACTTTCTGAGTTAGTCTGTTACTTTAAAATGACATGTACAAGAAACATGTTGGAGAGTCCTTTTTAAATGCATAACTGATTCTCAAACAAATTCCTACCTGACTCATTTTAGGAAGATCCTTAATAGTTTCTTTTTTTGCATCCTTTTCCTTGGCCCACATTCGCAGGTGATATCTGTAATCTTGGGGACTGGTGCCCTTCTCCTCTGAAGGAAAATCAAGCCAAAACAGCTAAGACACAAGTCTAAGAATATGCACATTCTTGAATTTCGGTGACCCGACACAGTGATGGAGATTTTTTTGATTTTTTTTAGTTCAGGGCATGCTCCTTTTAGAAACTATCCTGCACAATTGAAGAGAACAGATGTTTTGTATACTTTGTAAAATTAGTAGTAAGCAAATAAATCTCTGTTATGGCCTTCAAGTTACAGCTTCCAAATTACAGTTAAAGCTTTTGTCTGCTGGAAGCTATAAATCACAGCTCCCAACAGCCAAATGTAACAAAACTGGGAGCTGTGGGGACAATTAAAGTTATTCTAGTTAAAGCATTTTACTTTCCCAAAACGGGGAAACACTGAGCCCAAGAACTGAAGCATGTTGCATTTCTGGGAGGATGAATGCTTCATAAGACACAAGGAAGGGAATGCCAGGAGAGGTCTACCAGTAAGAAAGAAAACTTCATTACCTTGGTCTTTGGAGCTCCCATCTCTTGCTGCTTTGTCTTCTTGCATAACAGCTTCTATCAAAATAAAATACAAATAAAAAAGGCAAAATGGTGCAGTCAAGAACATTAAGAACATTGCATGGGACTCAGGACAACAAAATGCCTCTCCTAATACTGTTTACAGTGAAAAATATGTTAACAAACCAAAGGGTGCATACAGAAACTTCAAGCCATAGGCTGAGGGCTGTCTAACCCTCAAACAACCACTGGTGCCTGAGTTCACATGACACAACTCCCAGTTAATCAGGCATCCACAGGTGCCACGCAAAAGGAGTGCCCATGGGCAGTTGACACAACTTACTATGGGTAAATTAAGCCATGGTGGGCTGTTGCATCATGCAAACCATGTAAATGTGAAGGGAAACCAAGCTGTAGTAGAAAAGCAGCATTTCACTAAGTTCTGATTTGCATGTATGTATGTATGTTTATACCCAAAAGCTTTTGATTCTGTAATGAGAGTGGGTAGATTTGGCAGCAAAAGCCTCAGCTTAAACAAACACAATAAAATCTAATTTCCTGAACATTTCTTTCAGCGGAACTCATCATAAATGGTAGGCATGTGCAATAAATTATAAGCATAGTTAGAGAAAACTGGAGCAAGGCTTAGAAAAAGTGGTTACAAAAAGGCATTACAGGCTAGGGGAGTATCCAGTTATAACTGATGTGTGGAGAGCATCGCTCAAGAGCAGTTGGGGCCCTTCAAAATACAAGAACTTAAAAGTTAAAGGCCAACAAAATCAGTGCAATTACTTGGGGCTTGCTGCTGCCGCCCTCTAGTTCAAGAGGGGCTTTAAGGAAGATTAGGAGAATCTTTCATTAAAACTGATGCTTAAAAACTGTAGTATCACATTCACAAGCTGCGTTTACTAAATTCAGCTCTGCTTTAACAGATGCTTTGGACAAACGACAGGGTATGTTCCAGCTATCTGTATGCTGTGTTGCTGAGCTTTTTGGGTGCAAGCGGCTGATCAATGTTGAGAAGACAAGGGTGGACTGGATGCCGCAAGAGAATGCTTGCGAGGGAAGATGAACAGGGTGTTCTTTAAGGTCATTACAGCATAGCTCCATAGCTAATAGGGAGGGAATAGGTCAAGCTAGACTGAAACAGCACAGGATGCTTTAGAATGACCAACGCACAATGAAGGCTGTATGTCATTAAAATAATGCAGAATAAAATTCACCTTGGTCTACTAGAAAAAAATCAGGCTTTAACCTGGAGCGAGTGGAGGCAGCAAGCAGGACACAATGACTCGATTAAGAATATTCAGAAAGATTAAGAATACTGACAAAACTAAAAATATTAAGAATACTTAGTGGATTAAGAACATGCAAATCAACATATACCTATATGCACACTCTGCTGTAAATAGTACATTTAATATTTCCCAGTACTTGGCATGTTAGTATGTTGCCCACATTTCACTACCCTTTGACTGACTAGACAAAGGCAACACATTTTAAGCATGAAGCCAATAGTAAATATATTGGTAGCCATGTATGCTTTGACCGCAGCAATAAGCCAAGTTTCCAGAGGAACTAATAATTGGACTTTTAGCAAAATTATCTAAAATTTAACATAGATTAGGGTGCAACCCGATGGCCTCCTAAGGTAGCCTGTGGGGAGGACAAAGGATCCTTTGGGGTCCCATCTCTGAGTTCTTTTGAAGTGGGATCCCATCTTCCTCTCTTGCAGCCAGCATGGGAAGAACCAAACTGGCTGCCTCCCACCCCAAGGTGGCAACTGGGCTTCAGAGTGGGCAAAAGGGGATGTGCTGGGGGGTGGGGGAAGGGGAGAAGAGTGGGACTGCGGATTTCCACCAGTCCAGATCTGCACTCCAGCCTCTTTCCATTCCCCTCCCCGATGCTTAATCTAGATGGCTGGAAACAGCGGTGGAACAAAAATGGCAGGACATGAAGTTGTGGTGGGGATCACTGTCACCATATGCACTCCTGCCACCGGAGGCTGATCGGCTTCTGAGCATCTGCTGCAGGGACAACTGAATTGCACCCTATGAAACGGAAGTACTGTGTCTTATGTCTAGCAGCCATGTCACAGTAACACCAGTGAGAAACAGTTCTTAAATAATGTAATTTTACATGAGCTTTCACTACATTTGGTAGGCAGATAATTTGAGCCCAGTAATAATGGCCCACATTTGTGCAGGCCTTCAGACTAACCTTGAGAACCGCAATGGAGGAAGAGATCCAGTTCTGAGACAAAAGGAGATACTAGAGAAGTGGCGAGAGAGAGAGAGAGAAAGAGAGAGAGAAAAGAGAGGCTTTGAGGGCAGGGAGGAATTTGAGACAAAACAAGAAAGTGAATCAAAAATACAGAGCAACAGAAATGAGAGGAGGGCAGTGAAACGAAACATACGAACAGGAACCCTGAGTAGGAAAAGCAGCCTGCGAAGATCAAGCGGCTTTAGTCTTCTTTTATCAGTGCTTTACACCAAAATAGTTTATCACTATAGTCCTCAACAGGGGCAAAAGTGATTCTGTGACAACTTGCTGTTGAGGAGGAACTAACACAACTGCCCAGAGAGGTTTCAAAACATTTCTGTGCTCATCCCCGCTGCCACACATCCTGCCCACCCCATCCCAGTCAGGCAAGAAGGATCACTGTTACCTTCTGTAACACTATCCTCTGTGAAGTAATTTGCGGCCTCCAGAGCAGACTCTGCTTCCTCTGGGCTCAGAGCTATACAAAGAGGGAAAAGCATGAAGCCATCTTTTTCTTTATCATTATTGATTATTTAATGTCTAGCCTAACGAAAATCATCTGGTCCAAAAATCTATTTGGGCTCTTTAAACTTAAGCAGGGTTCTTGACAGAAGATGTCCCTGAAATCCCATCTAACAGAGAGGATGGGATTCATAGGCTAGGACCCACCCTTGGACTCAGCACAATTACTCAGAAATAGATGCTCATATGCTTAGACTGCATAACAACAAGTGAGCATATTCAAGGCACTTGCAGTTTTGATCAGTTAGAACAGGAACATGGAAACACAGCTTAGAAGAATAGACATTAACCATTGTTACAGCTTCCTGCTAGCAGGAATGACCCCCGCCCCCTCCCCCGCCCCAGCATTTCCATTTTATGTCTAGAGTTTTAAGCATAAACATGATGCATGATGTGCTTTTACATAAATCTATGTAAAAGCTTCATCTTACTTTGCTTGTTACCTCTTTCCCCAATAAACTCTGTCCACACAAAAAGAACGGTACTCCGGCTACATTCATGTACCCAATCTTAACCACAGGATGGACACAGAACTACCAGCTGGCATAGTCTGTTAACAAAGCACACGCTTTTCTAATGCTTACTTAGCATACCTTGCGTAAGCCACTACTACTTCTTTTCTATTGGGTGGTTTTACTTTAGTTTTTTCATTTACAAAGACCCTTAAATATGGTCAACTATGGTTGTTGTCAAGTTGATGTTTGGAAATGGAATTTTGCAAAAAAAAAAAAAAATCAGATGACAGAAGCTTCTGTCAGATCAAAGAAACATCTGGGAGTGACAAGACAGTGATGAATATAATCCAGTGATTCAAACTCTACCATGTGGTATGCTTAACAAAAGCCATGCCTATTTTTTTCTGTGTTATAGAACTGAATCAGCCTGTGAGAATTTTTAAATTGTAGCATATAATTTAATTGTCCAGTTAGCTATTTTCTTGTCTCTGTTACTCTGACCATTGCTGTTGCTTAATGAATTTTATGGTACTTTTAAATTTAGTTTTTAAAGTGTCATCTTAGATTCTTTAATATGCTTTTTAAAATGTTTGATTTACTATATGATGTTCCCCCACTTGCAAAATTCTGCTCCAATTGATGTTCATCAGGCCTCATCATTCCAGTTCTTAAAGTTCTGAAGACTAAACTATTTGGCTGGACTATAACTGAGTTAGAATTCCACCGAGGCAGTTGTGTATATGGCACTGCCTGTTTTTAATTGTTAATTTTCATTTATACTATTGGTCTTGCTTGTTTTGATATGTTTTGTGCTTTTAGTTTTGTTGCATACCCTCGCAACTGACCTTACTCTAAATGGTCGCTTATAAACTTTTAAAAATAAACAAACAAACTGCCTTGGAAACTTCTGGTCAAATGTAGGTTATAAATATTTAAATTAATTAATTAAAATAACAACACACTCCTAATCCCTTCTCAGACAAATTTCCTCGGCAAAGTTTGTGTAAAGATGCCACCAGAAGACCCCCGTCAGCTTGCATCAGTCTTGAAGTTTGCAATTATACTACAGAATAGTCCATAGGCCTTGCTCTATAAATGACTGTCTTGCTATTCCAAAGAGTGAAAATTGAAACAGATGAGGCGATATATTTTTATTGAGCCAACTGTAGCCATGAGGATACTTCTGTTTCAATGAATCATAGTTAAACATTATGTCCAAATCAGGACAAAATGTGGTTAGTCTTAGCTATGGTTAACAGAAACATGTCAATTTCAATCCATGGTTTATGCAGCTGGTTTGTCCCCATAAACTATCATTATGATTAGCCACAATATAGGGGGTGGATGTAACAATATGCTCTTCTTTGAAATTGGAAGGGAAATTTTCTAATCTCCTCTTTGTTGCCATGCCAGAAGAGAGGGAAATAAGCAAGCTTGAGACTTGTCTAGTATATCTACTGATTATTATGATGTCTGAAGTTGACCAATGTCTGCTGTAAATTGATATAAGTATTCATATTCTTCAACATGGCAAAGCAACTATTTCTAAAGAGACTTCAGGTCACTTTTTCTGCTCTACTACTGCCATTACTGCTCTTCTGGTAGACCTGACCCACACCTTAGGTTAATGATGTCCAGGAAAAACAGAATATTAAAAGCTTTCCATTTGGGTAAGCTATTAACAGCTTTAACAAGCTGCAACCTTAGTTAAATACTAATGGATGTTTGAAAGAAAGAAATGGATCACCTGGAGGTAAATGTAGTTTGTACAGTAGTTTAAGTTTCTCAGTCAGATCTCCATGATACATTCCACCTTTTAAGAATAAGAAGAAAAGTCACTTAGCATTCAGAATTACTGCTAGATCACCAACTTTTTTCTGGCAGGATTTTTATCCTTACCAGCTGCCTGACATGCAGGGGAAATTTAGCAGAAATGAAGCTTCTTCTACGTCCATATTTGATTTCTGCATGTCAGCACAAAGCTTGTTACAATATTTCCCTCAAAACAGCCTTCTGAGCTAGGACATTCTTTTGGTTATGGAAAAAAGAGATACCCAAAGTCACACAATGAGTTCATAGCAAATGCTAAATATTTGCACCTGACTTCCCAACCAGAATAAACTAATCCAGGCTTCTATCAATCAGATGTAGAGCTTATGCAAGGAATTACAAGCCATGCACAGCTTTAGCTGGTAACTGCAAATAGAAGACCGTAAGATTTACCTTTTTCTTTTGCCATAGTGAGGGGCAAAAAATCAGAACTTTTCTACACAATTGTTTTTGTAAGGATATAGCTTGTGCCAGTCTCTCACCACTGCACAGGAGGAGGAGGCAGAGGAGGAAGTAACTTCTGCCTCAGCATTAGATCAAGTGTTTTAGAGAAGCCACTTACTCATCCCAGTTGCAAACTCTTTGAAGTTAATAAGGGCATCTTTGTTCTCGTCCAGGAGTCGGAACATTCTTTCTGCTAACACTGCTGTGTGGAGGCCACAGGACCAAGGAGTGAGAGAAGCAAATAATTCTTTGAACTGCTCTATGTTAATGCGGTACTGTTCTAGGTAGGGCAGGCTCTGGTCTCGGTGGGCTGCTGCAGTGCGATTTCCCCAGTAACAGCTCATGAGGTGTTTTGCCTATGAAGGGAAGGGACTACTAAGTCAGATAATAATGATATTTTCAGAACCTCAGCTTTGAAAAGCTCCCTATAACTCCTAACAGGGGGAACCCCAACACTAACTGTGAGATGAATGCCATTGGGTTCTTTGTAAAAACAATTTTCAGTCCTGGGCATGGCAATATGCAGAAAAAGGAGTGCATCAAAATAACTTAGGGAACATCAACAATTTGGGGTACAGATTCAGGCTGAAATGGCTTGATAGCTTTGACTGGAAAGTCTAGAGGCAATGCTTTGGCAGCTTGGTGAAGCTCTTGAAACTTCCAAAGAGAACAATGTTAGTTACTCCCCTTGGCACATAGATAACTGAAAAAGGCAAGGCTGAAGCTGTGACAACACTCAACCTTAATGAATAACTAGTTCAGTGATAACTTGAAACCACTGTAGCTTCCAACCTCTTTCACTAAGAAATAAGAAGCCTTGGTGGCCAAGCAAGAATAAAAATATCATAGCTCTGATGCTACGGTCCTCTGGAGCAAGTCCCACTGAAGCCCATGAAAATTACTTCAGAATAAACATGCTTAGAATTTGCTTGTGAGTTCTAAATATGTTTCAATCACATCAGGTTGCTCTATTCAAAGGGACTCAGTATTAGCATATTTTTTTTGAAAAAAAGGAAAGAAAACAGACTTGGTCCCACTGTGTGCATGCAAGGCTTACTTCAAAAACTGTAATCATGTCAATCATCTGCTTGATGGGAGGGAACAGCAGATAGACAAGGCCCTCCCTGAAAGTATTTCTTCCTGAGCTGTTGCTAGGCAGAATTGCTCTGTTTTTGAAGATGGGCTCACCTGAACAGTCTCAGCAGCTGGATCAGAGAGAACAGTCTACAGAACAACACACATTTCCACATGTAATGAAGAGCGGCCATTGCAAAACTTTTAAGATGGGGCAGAAACATTGCCAATTATTTCAGGTGAGGTGCATCTACTATGCCAACAGTGGCAATTTCTTCCTCTTTTTTTAACTTAAAAATGTTTGCTGATGTTGTGGGGGAGAAATTTTTTCTCCCACCCGCAACTGTATTTTTTAAAAAAGGCACCTGTGATAGTGGTGGAACCAGGTTTTCCTACCAGAATATCACTAAAAATCGGTCAGCATTAGCTGATGTAGCAGCAGAGGTGTCGCTGCATATATTGTTAAAAGTGAAGAGGAGGAGCAAAAAAGAGCTGTTTTTAAAAATGGTATAAAAAAGAAAGAGGAAGAAGCCACTGCTGTTACCCCAGTAATGACTCAGCCCTCTGCACACAAATAATTCAGAACATTTCAGCCCTCAGTCTCTCACGGAAACTGCATCCATGTATTGAATTTTGTTTGAAATGCCCTCCTCCCACTCTCTTAGTGGAAGTTTATTTCTATACAAACAGAGTCCCTACTGGGACAATCTGCTATTATTAAAGATGATGGTTCTGGTTCCACCACCCAGCCTCCCTAGTCTTTAAAGCCTGAGGCTTAATTGTCAAGAATAACATTGAATCCTATGCAAGTTTAAAAAGAAAAAGTCCCACAAACATTTAGACAGAAGGTTTTTTCTACAGCTCCCAGAATGCCCCAGCGAGTGCAGCTCGCTGGGGCAGGCTGGCAGCTGTAAGGCTTTTCTCTGACTTAAGCATGGCTAGGATGGCACTCTAAGTTTGTGCACAAAGTCACTGTCTTCCCATTTTTGTTCATCTATCCGGTGTGTCCTTATACAAGCAGATAAAGGATATTATGTATTTATTAAGATTCCTATCATACCCCATTGTAAAAACTCAGAACAAGTCAGACAACTAAACAATACAAAAATGTTAAAAAATCAGCAAATTAGAGCAAGGTGTCTTCCAATTCAGTGAAATTTCCCTGTAATTTTCTAGCTGCAAAAATCAATGGACTTTGGAGTGTCTGCACAGAGGGGGCACTTTCATAGCTGGGTAAGAAAGCCTGTTAGTAATATTAACAATAAATGGGACCTTACTTTATAAAGGGTTCTTACCTTAAATACTACATAAAGGTCTTCTAATTCTTGCATGGAAAAGCCAATGTCACCAGAGACAGCTCGGACCTATACAATTGCAGAAAAACAAATGTATCTTAACTCTGTTGGTGGAGAATTTGAAAGTTAAATTCTATATCAGGAAGATATGTGTTACAAAGCAAGACAAAATGGCTTTCAAGGCCTGGAGACTTGACCGGAGAAAGGAAGGAGTGTGTAACGATTTTGAGCAGAATACCAAAGTCTGCATTTGGGAATTATTGATCTCTAAGACAGGAAGATGCAAAAAACCCCAATGACAGCTAGAGAAGAATAGCTCTATTCCCTCAAACGCAGTGGGTAAGCACAGCAAAAAACTGGTCAAAAATATTCAATGCTTTCCTGCTCTCAGTGCACTGTAATTGGAAGTGGGAACAGGAAATGTGTCAACTTCCTTTCAGCTTTTATCTCTTTAATCCGCTCTTTGTCGAGCATCTACAAGGGCATTAGAGGCATTCGCTGGAGATATCTGATGCTATCTGGAGAGAATGAACACCACACTGGCACAAACAACAGAAAATAGCATCTGCAAGAAGATGCGAATGCTACTCTTCCCCTGAGATTCCAGGCACAGCAGCTTTGAGGATGAGAAAGGTCAGCATCTCCTTTTGCCCTGCTAGCCCTCCTCACTAGCAGGGTTTTGCAACAAAGCTCGCTACGGTTTTCTGAGAATAAACAATTCAACTTTCCCACCCTAGGCTGTTATATCAACAGAGAAATATATGGCCATTGCTCAGACCCAGCGAATGTCTGAACTGAGTGTGAGCAAAAGCAACACTCATAGTCCCTGAATCACCACTACCCAGATTTTTCTGTAGAAGAAATTTGAGCAAAAGTTCCTTCAGTAACATGATAGCTACTTGCATACACCATTTAGGACATAATCCTATAGTGTGTTTATACAGAAAAATCATATCCATTTCCCAGCCAGTATGGGAATTGTAGGGATTTTTTCACTCTAAATATGCACAAGGTCGCCCCTTTGCTTTTTTAGATTGTATAGTTCATATTATGCTCAAAGACTCAGATAACTCTTTAGAAAAACAAATTCGAAGTACTTGAAAAAAAATAAGTTAAAAAATCTGTCTTTTTAAAAACACTGGGGTGCCACATACCACACTTCTCTTAGCGGTGTCTTCCAAAGAATGGATCACCTTCAGTCTCTGCTTGAATCGCATCTGCTCAATGTCATCTGCTTTCAGGTGGCCAAATTTCTGTAGTTGGAAGAGCACACCAAGTCCTTAAGTAACACCATGGCATAATACCATGCATTTGATGAAACACTGAAGATGGTGCAGGATTGTCTAACCAATGATTTCACTGTGGAGTGAACAAAACTGAACTCCACTGAAAGTGATGGTGGTAACTGCAGTGTGTAGCTATGCTGGAAGTCATAGGCACAATGGGGGTTGGTAGGGGAGGATAAATCAGGCAGCAGCAAAGAGCCATCTTCTAAGTACTAAACTTGGGACACAGAAAGACTCTGTTCTTATAGCATGCCCATTTTAGGAATTCAAGAATAAGAATTAATAGGGAAGTTTGAAAGGAGACAGGAGGAGAATGCAGTGACAACAGCAAAATCACAAGGCTGAATCTATCCTGTATTTCATAAAACTTGCTGAATAGCCCATATCCTGAACTTCTGCATGCACCATGCTAATATTAGAGCAAGTGCTTTGTTTTTATAAGGAAAACAAGAGTAGTGCTTAAATAATAACAAAAACATCATAGGAAGAAAAAGGGTTAGGGAAGTTAGCTATAGACCTCATAGGCGGTTCTTATAAGGTCAAAGATATCGATTTCCACTGGTGGATCATCTCCACTTGTCAACAAGGCATGAAGATGCGGAATACGTGGAAAAACACTCTGTTGGTTAATTACATTGTCCAGGTACCTATAGGAAAATCAAGTCAAAACAGAAACTTGGATCAATATATAGTTGGAAAATTAAGGTAAAGATGGTCAAATTATCTCGAACAGCTAACATGTGTTTATCTGGCCTGCATAATTTTATTTATTTATTTATTTAGAAAATTTCTATGCCGCCCCATTCGCCGAAGCCTCGGGGCGGCTCACAACATAAATCAATTAAAATAATATAAATTAACAATATAAAATAAGTTAACAATATAAAATATTGTTACCAATAATTCCAGTGTTGGTAGTTTCATGTTAGTATAATCAAGTTTATAAAGGGTTTTTAAACCAATCTTTTCATTTGTTGGGGTTTTCAGAAAATTAGATGTATATATGCTAAAGGAAACCAATGTAATATGCTATATATGTTCTGTTGAAGGTATGAGTCTCCCACCCTGAAAAGAAAACACTTTGCATTTGCTATATATTCTGCCTTTCTTTTTCAGTAGAAAAACTCAAGTCAACAAACCAATCTAGTACAAAATGACAAATGAGGAAATAAGACCAAATCAGGCCTCGCAGTTTGTCCCTCTCCTTCTGCCAGCTACAGATAGCATCTGCTCTACAAGCAGGGGGTCTCAGAAGCTGTGCGTCACAGTAGGACAATGGAAAGGAACTCGTTGTTTCTACCTTCTCCTTCTGCAAGGTGGGGGTGGATGATCTCACTGATTTAAATAGAGAGGCAAATCATGGAAGGCAGTCTAATGAAGCGAATCCATTTTTTTGCTTTATAGGATGGCTAATTGCTAATGGGGTCTACTCTGACACTAGACAGGTTGGATGGTAGCTGATTATGGCAGAACTCCAGTGGTAGTTAAAGACAACATTCTTGGAAGACCTTGGTTAATGATGATTAAATTCAGCACTGCACGTGTTCCCCGCTTACCCCATTAGCCCACATGGCTGAAGAGAATTCACTAACCTCTCCCATGAAAACCAGATTTTCAGTCTGCATATCTATTCAGCAGAAAGTAAAGCTGGGCAATGGCAATTCAGAATGCCATGAATAAGGTACTTTGACCAAATGGGTCTTGCACTCATGAGAGAGCTTTCTGGTCTTTACTACCTTATTTTACAGCTTCCACAACCCACTGAAGCACAATGGCTGGCTTTGAGTGGGCTGATTTATATCATGCTTGCAATGAAAACATTTCCTATCTACTGAGGAACTTGTATCAATGGGAAAATGGCTTCAGTCACTAATCAGGGATAGGAAAGTATTAATGATCCTAATATTTGCAAGAAATATTACCGTTCAGTTAAGTATGAAACAGAAAATCAAGCCTACCTGCCCAAGACAGTCATTGCCTCGCCTTCATCGGAGCAGTTTAGCAGCTTCTCCATGTTGGCATCCAGAATTGCCAGAGACACCTGCAAGATGACCTTGATGCCTTCATAGAAGAAACAGTCAACAATCACCACAGCACTTTCAAAAGGCATCACACTGAGGAACAGTGTGAGGAACCAAGAAAGAGAGATACTGGAAATGACTCCCAGATCCTGCATCTTCTCAGACAGCTGGGGAAGGCAATCCCGCGTTAGCTCCTCGAAGATACCTTGGTCTACCAATGCTCCTGAATGGGCGAGAGAGACAGGAAGAAAAAGGGTGGTGTTATCTGCATTGTGTGATGAAAAGTAATAAGTAAAATTATATCATAGATTAGGGACTGAGGCAAAGCTGGTGCAAAATAAGTGTCACTTAAAATGAGCCCACACATAACTATTCTGCATTTGATTTGCAACTGAATATTGCAAATTGCATGCACTAAAAACATTCTGTGCATGAAGAAGAGATGAACAGAAAGCTCTGTTTGCAATATTTAAGCTATTTAAACTAAATTATTTTAAGCATGGAAAATTGCCACTTGAAGTAGCAATCACTGAGTGAAGAGCATGAATCCATCAACTATTCTTAAAATAAAAAAGTTTTCGGAAGGGATAAGCAAACTGCAAAGCTTAGAACTATTGTCAGATTTCTTTTTCTAATTCACTCAGCCATGGATGGTCTTGAGGTTGCATTCCAGTGGTGGGTAGAACTGAAGGCAAAAGAAATGTGGCCCAAATATCAAAAATAGCAGCCAAATTCAATTTAAATCTCTTACTGACAGTAATGCAGCCTTAGGAGAAACATTTCCATTTTTAGAAAGATGAAGAAACTGCATAAAAGCTGAGAAACCACTAAACAATTGGTGGTTGAGGGGAAGAGGGTGGGGCCAAATTATAAAGCCAGGAGGGCCAGAATGGAAATCCCTCCCTGTGAATTTAACCCCAGACCTGAGGTTCGGCACCCCTCATATAAAGTTAAATGAAGGCATCAACAAGTTATGCATTCCCGTGCTGCCCCACCAAAATAAAAATACATCATACTAAACAAACAGGAAATTCATCATGCAAATAAGCTGGCTAATACTTCTGTTCTTGAAATTTGCAAGCAAAGACTAGGCAGGTATCAATTAGAGATGCTTCAGTCCAGGGACAGCTTGTTTTAGAAGCTAGAAGTTGGGACTAGTTCATTTGATTCCTTTCTTAGATTTAATATCTTAAGAAAATTCATATACAAATTATGTAGATTTTATGAAGCAGATGTGTCCCACCAGTTTCTAAGGACAAGTTAGTTGAATTATCCAACTTTTCTCAAGTAAATCTCCCTCTTTCGGTGCTTCAGACTGCTTTGCACCAACTTATCCTAGCTTTCAAACTTAACTAGAAGACTTACCAACCACTCTGGTGTTATAGTAATCTGGCAGCATCCTCTCACACAGGGCCACAAGGAGCCAGAAAGCTTCTTCCTCATTGCAATACAGAAGCAGTACTGATGTCACAATATTCATGGCCTGGCAACAGGTCGGCGTACACAGACACACAAAGAGAGTAATTCATACAAGGTGCGAAGCATATTTTAGGAAGGCAATCAGTTATGGTGCTTTAGTCTGTTAGAGCCTCAGACATGAATTATAAATGAGATACCTTGAAGAAAAGATGTTATAGCTCAGAACCACATCCTTGATTTTATGAAGCTAGTGCTGTGCTTTTATTAGCCACTAGGTAACTGCCCACAACATTTCACAAGTGGTGGGCAAACAGAGCATTTCTTATGCACCTTGAACCCCTCACCGCCCTCTTTCCCTTCTTGCTCCTTTCCCCCAAAGCTCCCAAATAACAGAAATGTTCCGACAGGTTGATCATCCAGTCAAGTGTGGCCTCTTGATTTCCTGGCTATGTTCAACCCAGAATGGTGTCAGAGCCAAGGAGGGCTTTCCATCCAGACAACATGTTCCCACTAAAACACAGGTTGGCTGAACTGGAAGGAACAGTGCCATCACATTCCGCAGTAATCGGCCATGGCTTCTCCCTTACCTGGCAGTAACCAATTGTGGGATTCCGAAAAGCATACGCTGTGAGTACCCGTCGAAGTGCAGCGATCCCCAGCTCATTCTGAAAGGCTGGGTGCTCAGGCATGGAACGGTGCAGATCTCTTTCAATTTCCTCTGTGGCAAGGCTATACTTTCCCATGGACTGTTCCACCATGTCTGCGTAGTACCCAGGGTGGGTGACCATCTCATTCCAGGCTCCTGCAGCGAGACATAAAAACTAGTTCGCTTGTTCATGACATTCAGGATGTGCTTAAGGCTGGAGGTTTACCTGCTTCTACCAATTTCTACCTCTTTCAGCAGTTTTAAACCTAGGGCTTAATGTGTGGCATACTTTCCTAATAAGCATGACATATTCATAAATGATTTATTAAGTTGTGCCATTTATTCTGCATGCCATATGTGCAATTTCTTTTTTAAAACACACACACACCCCCACATATTTGCAGGGAAAAGGTTCTCAACATGAGCTGCAACTGGTTAAGGACCAAGAAATGCTACTGTGGGAGAAAATATGGATGCCTCTTGTGATTGCTTCCTATTTAGGGAGACTTTCCATCTTAATGACAGAAATAACCTAAAGCTGATCAAACGTTTCTATTTCTTTTAAATGGAGAACCTGTTAAGCATGACAATTCACCTGAAAATAAGAGCCACAGCTCCCCACGAAGATTTTCTGGGATCCCTTTTAGCACCAGTTCACGGGTCTTGGCTGTGCGGTACATACACATTCCCCTCCCATATTCGAAAAAATGAATATTCCAGGACTCCTCTTTCATCGTCTCCTTTGCCTACAGAGGGAAGTGTTAGTAGGATCTCATTGTTAGAATCTTCAGTTGATTCAAAGTCAGGGTCCCCCCCCCCACTCCTATGCATGCTTTACTCTATAGATAATCTATAAACAGTGATCTCTCATAGTAAGTCACCTGCAAAGATATTACAAAAAATGTGTGAAATTTGTAATAAAAGGAGCAAATGACTTTTAAGTGCACTTTGGTTCATGTCAGTACATATTTCAATGTTTCAATTTTCTTGTAAGTCACTTAGATACATTGTTAAATACAGAGCAGTAAATAGATCTTTTAAATAAATAAAATAAACTAACAGGTATTAACAGAAATTGGTGTGCAAGGCATTTGGATAGTCTCTGTTATGCTATATAGACTGATTTAATATACACTCAGCCAAATGAACTGGATCCTATTCTACACTGCATACATTCAGAAAGCACATTATTACTATGCTTCTATTTAAAAGCTGGTGTTTTTGCTACCTTCAGGGTTCATACAAAAATACATTTTAATTGACTTATTAACCACTCCATCCAAATAGCACAGTTACTTTTAAACAGACTGACTTTAACAGCACAAGGGAATGCAACGCACCTCAGCTTAAGTGCACACATCCTCCTCCACCTCCACCTCCTCTTCTCCTCCTACCAGTTCCCACTGTCAGGACTCACAACGGCTCACAACATTAAAAACTTATACAATTAAAACATTCTTAGAAATACACAAAAGTTTAAAGCATAATTAGATCTAGATTATAAAGAGAGTAGAAATTAAAAACGCTAAAAGCACTGAACAATAACAGAACAGAAGGAACGCAGGGTTGCTGCTGGCCTCAAGACCTCATTCAAGCCACTGGGCTTAAGTGGAAAAGCCCTTGCGAGCTTCTCCACATGCAGAGCCAGGCCTTCAGGGGGTGAACTAAATCCTCCGCCTCAGGTGGCAGAGGGCAAGAAGGCAGCCTGCATTCCCCGTCTAGAAGCGCTGCTGCATGGAGCACCCCGCCAGTGGCTCCTGCAGAGCCGAGAGGGCTCCCTGGAGCTGCCGCCCAGTGGCACGACAGTGGCTGCTTCAGAGAGCACTACAGTCCCGCTCCTCCCTTGCGGCAAATGACACTGCAGTGGGAAAGTGCCCAGCAGGGTTCGCCAAAGGGTCCCCGTTTTTGCAACTGTAGCTTAAAACAATGAGGGGGCACATAGAGCGCCCAAAAAGTGCAGTAGCAGTCCTTCTAAGGTGCCATTCAGGCCCTCGAAAGAGGCTATCGGTGGCTGTTAAGGCAGGGGTGTGAAAGCTGGCTGTCGAGCTAGCTTTTGCAATCTCTGGCGAAAAATATAAAGGAGAAAAAAGCTGCAGCAACCCCAAACTGGCTTGCAAGTGCAGCACGGAGGGCTGCAAACTGGCACCATCTGCCCTTAAGTGCCATTTGGGGGGTAGCTAGCCGTGGAAGATGCCTGGGTAAGCTTGGAAAGAGCAACATGGGTTTCTGCAGCTCTTGCCAAGTAGCTCAGAAGCTGATTCCCGGTACTCAAGCTGGGGTTAGTCACTTGGGCTTGGATGACACGACCCATTGTGGGTGCAACAATATCTAGAACAAGCAATGGCTTGTCAGCATGGCTTGATGATCTCAAACAAGCCACCCTGCAGGAATCAGTCCTTGTTCTCACAGTGAGACAAACCATCAAGTGTAACAACCCACAGGAGACTGTCCCATGACCCAAACCTAATCAACTGATAAAATAATTGGTCTCCTACCCCTTTTGGTCCAATGCGTTCTTCAGAGTTGGGCCCAAATAATTTAAGTAATCCTTGGGATGTTGTTGGTACCTCATCTGTGCAAAAACTGGTCATCTGATTGTTGGGAGGAGAGGCAGGACTGAGTGCCGGTGGGCTGCTGGGAGACAGCTCTGGAATTTCCTAAAAGCAAAGGTGCAAAGCAGGTTTCCATCACAACTTGAAAGGCAACTGGAGTGGTCAAACACTGTCTATGTGGGCTTCCTTCTATGGCTACATTGCCAGTGACAGAAGCATTGACTTCTTCACCCTGCCTGTTTAGTGTACTTCAACTCAACTTTGCTTTAAGAGTGCATCTTCTTTTGACTCTGCTGAAGTGGGCATCTAAGAGTTGCATGGGCTCCGCAACATGAAGGTCACCTCATATACTCTGGTGACCTATTTGCTATGGGTGTGTGTCCTTAAGGAGACTATGGCCAACCCCAGCTCCACACGTAAGTTTGCAGATATGCATTTATCGCATTCATGGTATGTTTTTGTGTGTACACCCTAAAAAGTAGTTTGTGAAACTGTACTGGGTACCAGCCAGCTGAAAACGACCAAAACACATCTTCTGCCACTGAGCTATGATCTCTCTCTTCGCTGCTCTTAGTCAGAGAACTTAATCAGAGCTCTCAACCACTTCCCAGCTTCTTTGCTATCTGAGGCAGCCACTGCTGCTTAATCAATCAGTTTTCTCTCAAAGCAATGCTACTACATGTTCAGGTGTATAATTAGAAAAGCTTTTCTCTCCCTGTTAAGAACTCATCATAGGATAAAACGCATGCTGTCCATCTCATTTTTTTTAAAAGCTGAGAAAGTAAGTCAAACCTGACACAGAGAGTTGATATATTCCCAGAACTTTTATGGGAAGTAGAACAAAACAGGAACTCACTTTCTGATGCATCTCACAGTAAGCCAATGAAGCACCTGGGGTCAGCATCCAGTTTTAGAAACAGAGGATAGAGGAAAGGACCATAGGTCAAATGCATTTGAAATCTGCCATAGGCTCTTCTAGTGTGCATTTCTAGTACCTCATGTAAACGGTCATCCACACTCTTCTTCCGCTCTCTGCCATTGCTACATGATTGCTTCGACGGAGTTTTCTGAAGAAAGTCAGAAATCCGCTGTACCAGGAAATCTCTGTCTTTCAGGTTGGCAAAAAGGAAGGTCATTTTGCTTTTGGTGCTGATGGAGAGTGGGCTTGGCAGGACACTGGAACTGTCAGCCTTCTCCACAATTGTGACCTAGAGCAACCATACAGAAATAATTTGAGTCTATCAAACTTTTGTATAATCACAATATTCAGGAAGTAAGATAGAACTTGTAGCTGATTATCAATGGACAGTTATTTTTCTAACAACTGTCCATAATCAGTACACATTGGTGTCTGTGCCACCAAGATCTACCTGTTTTATTTCTGGGAAAAATATGTCAGAATGTATGTGAAAAATGGAAAAATAAAATGCTACAAGCAATGCAATGAAGAACTGTCTATTTTATTTTAAAGACCATATTTCCCAAACATTTGAAAGCTTTCTCTTTCAATTAGTTGAGATCTCTCTAATTGCTCATGCTAAACTAAACAGTGGTTTGGATGTATGACTCTGGGAACTGCTTTGACAAAAGTTCAGAGTGCACAATTCTCTCTCATGTCTACAAGTCTGCTTCTTTAGAATACTGCTACAGTATTTCTGTTTCTCCCTACATCATTCAACCCCAATTCCCACTGCCCTAAGAAGTAATCCTTTACCGCAGAATGCAAAACTGGTTCATACTTTCACTTGCTTGGAAAATTATTTAGTTAATCAGTGGGCTAATCTACTGAGGCTCAAAACAACAATTTTATAACTTTCGAAGAGTCACTTCAAACTAAAACTAGTGAGTAATTGCCTGGACATTAAGACAATTCATTATCAAGAAGAAAGTTCTCACCTCCCTGAGTGGTATGATGAGATGACATGCTTCCTCTGCCTTGCTAGCAAAACAGATATAGTTGTTGGAAACAAACATCTGTCCCAGGATGTGGATTTTATTGAAGGGGGTCCATAAAGTACAGTCTGTATGCCCATCAAGACGTTCATCCTTAGGCAGTCGAAAAGTGGCACGGTACCACTCATTCTTGGCTCGAGCATCTAGATCTCTGAAGAAAAAGACAGCAAACACACCAGGTATTTAATGGGATGCTTTCTACTGCCCAATCATGACACAAACTCTCCAATTCCAACACAGTTTTACCTGCAATTCTTCTTCCTCCAAAAGCAGAAATTGTGAAACTTGAATGCTGTCTGGGAAAGATCCCTAATAGAGCAATATTCTTTTAATGAAGGCGCAGAACAGTTAAGACAATTCTTTCAAGGACCACTCAGGTATTCAAGTTCTTAAGTTCTAGGGTACTGCAGGGATAAAATGCAGCAGCACTGCAGGGATAAAATGCTTCCCAGATCAGCTGGCATAGGGACCTTGATGTGACAGGGAAATGTCTGCTCAAGGATGACGTGGGAATAAAGGTATGAACAAAAAAGCAGCGGGGAGGGGAAGATGCGGGAGAGTTTACAGATACCATGAAAACATGTATGGATGTTCCTAAAACAGAAGCCATTCAGCACTGGAATCGTGCTGATCACATTGTAGCCTATGACCCTATGACATTGCATTTCACTATATTACTCAATATAGGGTAAGCTCCACTTGGTGTCTTCCAAATCTTGGAAGAAAGAGAGACATGCATTTACCTTTTGAGAGCTGAGATATTCTTGTGAGGCTTGCTGGGCTTGGGGAGCAGCATCTCCTCTGTGAACCCTTTATTGTCAAATAGCTGCCGCATGGCAATGTTAGCCAGCTGCTCCATTAATTTAAAGGTCTCGTTGATGTTAAGGAACATAGAAAAGTAGAGCTCACTGTCCCTGGTGCTCACTTTGATGCATTCAGGAAACAGGAGGGTGGCATTCTTCTCCAGCTGTGTTACATCTACCCACTGGACTATTAAGGTCACTAGGGAAACATGCAAATCACCAATTATTAACAGATATTTAAAAGAAAGGAGTGAACAATACCTTTATAGCCAACTTATTTTTCTGTTTCTAATGATAGTCTAACTTGGCAAGGTTCTTAGAAAAAGAGGAAATTGGTTGGGTGTGAAACCTTGCAAAATATTTTACACACTTTGCAAAAGCAATATGAAGACAAAGTCTGCATATTCTCTTTCCATTCCTTTCTGGTATGAGAAATCCCCACAATGGCTCTAACTGTTACGTGACTAAGGATGTCCATTGTGGATCCAAGTTTAACCACAGAACTGAAACCACTTTAAAACAAACACAAATATCAGGCCAGTTAAAATGGTGAAGTGTTAGGAAATGTGTGGCTCTCCATCTGCCTAGCCACCCTAACCAAGGGTTTGTAATGACAGGAGTTGCAGTCCAACATCTGGAGGGTCACATGTCCCCATGTCCCCCATCCTTATGTAAGAAAATAACATTCAGCAGAATGACAGCTTACCTTCTTTGCCTAAAAGGAAGGAATAGAAACAGAGGTGATTAACAGTCAGATACAGCCAGCCTTGCCTGGGGACACGTCCTTTCCAGTAGCTGCAGGAGTAGTAGTTGACTAGTTTCTCTACTTCAGGCATTCCAAATTGTTTACGCATCTTCAGTTCTGCTTCTTTAAATTTGCCAGGATCTTCCTCCCCTTGAGGCTGCTGATTCTTATTCTCTTCCGCAATAATGCCCTACAAGAAAAAGGAGAGGGTGACAAATGAAATTCTTGTCTGTTCAAGCTGAACTCTGGTGGAATCACTGATTTTTAATTCTACAGTGGAATGTTAAACCAGTTAGCCTATGTTATTACTCCAGGTACAACACCCCCAATAGCTGGTTCTTCAGGCATTCTAGCCCTTCCTCAAAGTGTAAATGCGAGCATGTTTCCCATACTGATTTTTACATGGAGATTCAGAGCCTGCAGCTCTCAGGGCTACCTCATCATTCTGATGGAGGAAGGACAGGGGCCTCTTACATGTATCTTTCCCTTGACAAAGGTAGTGATATCTTCTTCATTGTCAAAGATGGCAAGGGTCTGGAGCAAATTATTCTCTAGCCATTCCCAATGTTTTGTGATTTCCTTCCGGGATGACCCTATGAAGAGATTAAGAACAATCATAATCAACAACCACTAGTCTATATTTGCAATTTAACATGTAAAAACAAAATAATTAAACACATCCAAGGAAATAATTGTTCTCGCACAATTTGTTCTCAGAGAGGTGTTGTGCTACTTTTATTAAGGCTGCTATTGCATGTGCTGCAAACATAAATTGCTACTGCTTGTACTGCTTAAATGAAGTTCTCCTGCAAACACATCACTAGCCACCTGAAGGCAAGCTTTAACCTTCTAGTCTTTGTATTTAAAATTACCACACTTTGGTCCAGCTTCCTCTCCACTTCTCTGCCTCTGCTACCACATCCCTGCCTCTCTGGCCATTTGCTAACAATCAGCATGCATTGTTCTTTTCTTCTGTTCCTTACTTTAGAACCATTTTCTTTGTTGTCTACAAGCCGAATATTAATCTGAAGATTCTAATATAATAGTTTGAGTTTCATTAATATATTTCAGAATTTTTTAAAAAATCTATTTTACAGTCTATTTATATCTTTTTCAAATGCTGTTTCTTATACTTGAAAAACTTGTGCATCAAACATGCTCTTCTGACCCCAGTTCCCTTGACAATAAAAACTTTCCTAGACATCCACACAGATTCTGTGAGCCAGTGTGCTCCCATAAGACACAAGTTCAAATCCCTGCTCAACTGTAACTTTATTAGATGATATAGAACATGCTTTTCAATCTTAGACTCTGATGCTAATCTGTAAATTGAGAGCATCATCATGCTGCTATAAAGCTGAAAGGCACACATATTGCAAAACATAAAGAAAATGCTGCTTTCATATTATGTTCCCCAGATTTGAGTTCACATACCCCTTCCTCATCCTCTCTTAGGCATGGGTTATTATTTCTATTTTCCTCATTTAGGAAACTCAAGTCCAAATCTTTGATCAATCACAAAGCTTGTACATCATGGATTCTCAGCATATTCCAACATGATTGTTATCTGACATCGCACGAAAACACACAAAAGGGTGATTTATCATAATCCCAAGATCTATGTAAAGAGGGGAAAACATTTTTGCCATGAAGGCACTCTTCTAAACTTTTTAAAAGCCTCTTACCAAAATCAGTCCCCCTGCCACCTTTCCACCCAATCATAGAATCCTGGATTAAAGTGCCAAGAATACTGTCAATAAACTAGACATGGATGCTATGCAGCCACAGTCCACATGCATAGCCAGTTTATTATCAGAATTAGTTTTTCAGAAAGCACCTCTATCGTATCCCTAAACAGATTAAAAAACATAATTTGGAGGGAAATGTGCTCCAGGAAAAAGGAATTTCTTTCTTTTTGAAGCACCCTCTTGCTTTGATATATAGTAGTACTCACCACATGCCACTGCCCAATAGATCTGAGAATCCTGTGTCTGGTGCAAAATCCTGTAAGGTGCAACTCTAGCACTGGAGTCCAAAACAACATCCAGGGTTCCTACAAGCAGTCCTAACATGACAAAGATGCAGAGTAAAACATGGTAAATGTGTGTGTGAGAGAGAAATTTTGGGATGATGTAAAAGAACATCTATATCACCATATGAAATTTAAAGGACAGTATTTCAAGTCTTGAAAAATGTAAGCACACCCACCACAGTCAGGTATACGAAATACAACTGGCCTCAGAGACTGTTCACAATTCCAAAATTAAGATAATTACTAGTAATTTTACAAACTTAATTTTCACACACTTGTAATTAAGTATCTTTTAGGAAATACAAAATCCTGTTTCCTCTTGAGATAGAAAAGAGAATGTTCTGGGAATGATCAGTCTTAAAGATAACCATTAGTCAAATGGAAGCAATGAAATGAACAAGCTACATTCACTGCTAATGAGGTTTAAAGTACCTGTGAATACAGTATCCTTGCAAACAACTGCAAACACTGTTAAGAACAGATAGTCCCAGACTCAGCCCGGTCTACCTCACAGGGTTGTTGTTATAGGGATAAGACCGAGAGCAGCAGGAGAATGATGTAAGCCTCCTTGAATTCTTATAAGGAAATCTAATGAACAAACAAATAGGCTACAGTGCCTCAAATGGGGAAGGCAGAGCACAACCTCTAGCTCAGGGGCTAGACAGCCTATAGAGCCATCCCATCCGGCTCATGGTCTTCCCTCCTTAAACCCTACTATAGGCATTATTACAGAAAGCACACATGGGCATGTGTCTTGGATTGTCTTTTAAGCTGACAATCATCTGCCTTAATATAAGCCCGTTTCTGCAGCACAAAATCATAGTAGAATCGGAAGGGGACAGAAGGACACAGGGTCCCACCCCTGCTCAGTGCAGGACTCCAAGTTAATGCCCTCCCTCCCAGATAACTGTCCAACTGCATCTGGAATGCTTCTAGTGTGGGAGAGCCCACAATCTCCGGGGATAGTTGGTTCCACTATCGTATTGCTCTTGCCTTTGAGCTCAGCAGCTTTGCGATGGCTAGGAGACATTAGGACTCATTCCCTCGGCAGACCAACAGAGGATGTCATATGAAAGCAAGTGCCTTTTAAATTATAGAAAACACTGCCACCTTTCCTTTCATACTCAGTGCATTGCTTTTGCCCTCTCTAACTTTCTATGCTTACAGGCTCACTGCTGGGCACTCGCTTGCCACAGAAGTCTGGAGATGAAGGGGACAAGGCAGGAAGAGTTCCCTGTGGAGCACTGGTGTTTCATGTAGCATCTGATTTTACTACCCCAGAATGAAACACTTGGGTTTTACAGAAACTCAGTGGGTTCAGCACAGCAAAGGATTTAATTAGCCTTTCCCATCTTCAAGGTTAACTTTTCCCACATGGCTACATGCAGGAGATTATACCCAGAGAGGAGTTAGGGGGTCATGACATCAATTTCCAGGAAGTGCTGGGCAGGCTGTGTGCCCAGTGCCTCTTTGCACTGCCCCAGGGATGGGGGTGGGAGAGCTGCCTTATATGGAACCCACCCACTGGTCCCTCGGCAACCCAGTACTGCTGGCAGGGACCAGCGGTGAAGCTCTGCAGGGTTTCAGGCAGGAGTTCTACTTGCGCCATTTTATTTATTTATTAAATGCTTTTGTGTGCTGTCCTTTATATAAATATCTCAGGATGGCTTACAGGAATTTAAAACAATTTAAAACAACTAAGAACATCATCCGCAGAATTAAAACAGTGATACAGTATGAAACAATAAATAAACATCAAGTAAATCAAATTAAATCAAAATTGTTATTGTTGTTGTTAGTCGCGAAGTCGTGTCTGACCCATCGCGACCCCATGGACAACATTCCTCCAGGCCTTCCTGACCTCCACCATCCCCCAGAGTCCACTTAAGCTCACACTGACTGCTTCAGTGACTCCATATAGTCACCTCATTCTCTGCCGTCCCCTTCTTCTTTTGCCATCTAATATTCCCAGTATTAGGCTCTTCTCCAGGGAGTCCTTCCTTCTCATTAGGTGGCCAAAGTATTTGAGTTTCATCTTTAGTATCTGGCCTTCTAAAGAGCAGTCAGAGTTGATCTCCTCTAGGACTGATCGGTTTGATCGCCTTGCAGTCCAAGGGACTCACGGGAGTCTCCTCCAGCACCACAATTCAAAGGCCTCAATTATTCAGCGCTCAGCCTTCCTTATGGTCCAACTTTCACAGCCAGACATTGCAAATGGGAAAACCATAGCCTTAACTATACCCACTTTTGTTGGCAGGGTGATGTCTTTGCTTTTTAGTATGCTGTCTAGATTTGTCATAGCTTTCCTCCCCAGGAGCGTCTTTTAATTTCTTGCCTGCAGTCCCCGTCTGCGGTGATCTTGGAGCCCAGGAAAATAAAATCTGTCACTACCTCCATTTCTTCCCCATCTATTTGCCAGGAAGTGAGAGGACCGGATGCCATGATATTAGTTTTCTTAATGTTGAATTTCAAGCCAACTTTTGTGCTCTCCTCCTTCACCCGCATCAAGAGGCTCTTTAGTTCCTCTTCACTTTCTGTATACTGTTGCCCTGCCTGACTCCTTTCTCAATTTTGAACCAATCAGTGGTTCTGTGTCCAGTTCTCACTGTTGTTTCTTGACCCGCATATAGGTTTCTCAAAAGGCAAATAAGATGGTCTGGTACTCCCATCTCTTTAAGAACTTGCCACAATTTGTTCTGATCCACACAATCAAAGGCTTTAGCATAGCAAAAGCAACTGGAGAATGATTAAAATGGTTAACTTTTAAAATGCCACTTAAATAAAAAGGTTTTGACCTGGTGCTGAAAAGAGTATACGCTCAGCGCCAGGCATACCTCTCTGGGTTCCCAGAGCAGGGCTTCTCCTGCAGATCTTAAGGGGTGTGAAGGCCTCTAATGAAGGAGGCATTCCTTCAGGTATCCTGAGACCTGCTATGCGGAGATGTCCAGGGCTGACCTGCAGCTTGCCAAAGCATGCATTCTACCCTAAGTGAGGCTCCTTTTGGATAGAGCTTCTGAATAAGCTTTGTCATTTAAAAGTAGCAGCGGCCCCCAAAAAGCCCTCTGCTACCTCACTCCATAAAGTTAATCATGTTATCCATGCCAATTCTTCTGAAGTTCAATGCTTCAGAACAAATGCTGCTTGGCATGGGGAATTTTCTCTTTCCTACTACAATTCTAGTCAACATTCTCTTCCCCTTCCCCTGAACCTAATCTGTTTGCTTCTTCCCCATCCAGAGCAAGTCTTGTGGAGTTTCAAGAAGGGAGGTGCTGGATGAGAGAAGTTGTGAATCGTATTAGATTTTATAGGAGTAGGCATGAGAACCTATTTTACTCCTCCTCATTTTACTATGAGGAGAATCTATTTTACTCTCATCCAGCCCTTCTAGAAAAGTGGTTGCCATGGTTGCAGAGGAAGGAATCTTGAGCTAATTTGTCCATCAGCTGCCATTACCCAGCCATGGAAGGACAATCTTTACTAAAGGCAAGAGTTAATGGGGGGAGGTAATAACGTCTGCTCACTTATACAATCCTGTATGTCTACTCCAAAGTAAGTCATATTACATTCAACATGTCTTGCTGCCAGGACTATATAGGACTAAAGCTCATATTATTTGTTTGCAGCTTGGACCTCTGTATGTTCACTCAGATTTAATTAATCTGCCTCACCACTCTGCCTCACTGACTTGGATACCCTTTCAGCTCAATGCTATGTATGTTTTGTCATTTGTGGGGTGTGCATTTTGTTTTTTCTTGGCATAGGCTCCAGCCTCAGTGGTGAGGAAAAAGGCACTTTGTACATGCTCAGAGATCCTTTCACTATAAATGTAGCCTTAATATTAAAAACAGACTCCATAGCTGAATTATGGTGAAATTTTGGCACAATATAGGTTATGAGGAGAAAAAGACAATGAGAGCTTGAATAATAAATATGCGGTAGCATCTGTTTAATGAAGCATTATTGGAGGCTGGAAAAATGAAGGTGGATTGTTCCTGGAAGGAACAGCATGTACATGAACTAGCCATAGTTTTCTTGCAACAGGGGTTTCTCTATAAAAAGGGAATGCTGAGGCTTTAATAGGATACATTCCATTACTATTAAGAGAGGTATAGACTGCAACTGTTTAATAATGAAAGAACAGTATTTTGCATATGCTCAGAGACACCCTTTATTTCATTATTTGCTGTGAGCTTTTCTGAAATACAAATTTTAATAACTAGAAATGTGCATCCTTACACACACATTCTAATATATACAAGGGGCAGGCAATACGTGACTTCCTCTGAAAGCTGTTATATATGGCTTCTAGAGTGGAAAAACTGAAGCTTTTTGGTCTGTCACTTTACAGCCACTCCAGCTACCATTTTAATAACATATATACAGACAGACAGTAGCACTGTGGGGTGGAAGAGGTGCAGTTTAACACATGTAAGCAGACTGATTCATGGGCCTCTCATCTGGGTTTTGGATTTTTTTAAGCTTCCCAATTACTCTGTAAGTAGGTATACTTTCAGGGAGTCACAGCACCCTGGAGGGGAAAGGTTTACCCACCTCTCCTGTGTTTTGGCAAAAGCTATATTTGCAGGAAGCTGTACAATATGCTGACTATGAGGTGCTTATTCCACTCCCTGTTGTTCACTCAGCATCTGTCATTTTAAAGGGTTACAATACACTAAGCATTAAAAATGCTCATGAAATCAATTCCTAGTTGTTTAAGAGTGAGTTGCCATGGTTAGGTGCAGTGTGCTCAAGCCTTCAGCTCACATGTTTCTTCCTCACTTCTCCCTTCCTTCCTCCCACTCTTAAAGGGTAATTTCCTTCCTCTTTCCTTGGAAACCTTGATTGCCCTATGGTCTTTACTTGCTTTTCAGACAAAAATTGGGAACAAATCTTTGTTTGAAAAGCTCAAAATACAATTTCCATTCCAGATTTGAAGCTCAAGCACAAGCTATAATTTGCACATAATGATCTGCTGGATTTTCAGAATAACCCCTGGCAGATGCTGCAACCTATAGTGGTTTAAATAAGCCAAG